CATACCATGTCAACGAGAATTGATAATACGTGCGTTGTGTTCAACTACCTGTTATATTTATGATAATCTTAATTGTACTGTGAACTGTGTAATGCTATTTCATAATAAAACCGTCATTACAAAGGCCTGCATGAATATTAGCTCATATATTGATAGCATTGCTATTAACGAGATAACTACGCATGCCAGTAACGCGATGCACTTACCTATAGATATTGAGACAATACTTGACTTTTTGATCAGATCCACTCCGACATGCCTTTCGTTAATTTTCAATTACTAATACTGATGTAGAAAATATTTGGTTGTTGTATTGTTTATTCGTTTTATAACGGGATACGGCCTGAAGTTATTTTTACTGATGTCGAATACTATTACGATAGTGTATGTCCAGTATTTATAAAATAAATACTGGAGTCGACCAAATCTACAAATACACGTCTAAATTTACAGTAGCGGTCATAAGTACCCTACCCCTCTAATTCGAGACAGGAGTGAGTAGATGCTTTGGAAAATTTTCTGCATAAGGTAGAAGGAGGTATTGTGGGAAAGTTAAAGTTTTTACTTGGACAACTTTTTATAAACCAAATAAAATTTCGTGATATTTTGACACATAATCTACGCTCAATTTAGGATAAGTTATCATAAATATTGTTTATGACAAACCGTTTTCCGGATGCAGACGGCTGTTATGTGACGGAATACAAAATGTCGAATTTTGGGGGGTGGGGGAGTATTGTGGCGAATCACATTTATTAAAATCATATATAGATGTCATACGATTTTTTTATGTTATGCTATCATTTCATGGTTGTCTTCCTTTTCTTGTTTTTTTGTGCTCGTTCTTCTCTTCTTTGGGCCACAGCTTCTAAACGTAACGACAGGCGCGTCTGTTGTTTACGCAACATAATTTTACTTGTACTGTACCATTATAACAATATTATTAATAGTGGTAATAATGCCAACTAATGTCGTTTTCAAGGCCGGTAAGAAATTTTATTATTTAAAATAGTCAAATAATCGTCGTCGCAACATTTTTATTAGTATATTTAGATGGGTTATGACGACTGTTTTTCCATAATTAGCATCAATCAACGGACTACTGTCAAAGTTTTTCAATTACTCATTAATGACAATCCAATTTAGTGAAACAAGATAGCAAACAGATTACTGTGTGATTGCTACTACAGAATGCGAACGATCATGATGGTTTTTCCATTATTAACAAATAAGAAACGACAATCCAATTTAGTGAAACAAACGATTGCGGGATAAATTTTTCGATCAACCCCGCTGTTGTATTGCCTTATCGAGTTGACTATTGAATATTCGACATGGAGATGAAATTATTCACAAACAGAGAAATGTTCTGTAATAGTAACAGTAAAACAGTACGAAATTTATGTCGGAGATGGTCTTAATATAGCAATTCTTTAATATAAACAATTATAAAATTTAATGAGTAAAAGAGTTGTGTTATGATTATGAAAAGGATTATAGCTTGGCTGATGTTTTTTCACAGTTAGGATTCTGCTTTCACCTAAACAAAGTCGCTAGATTTGTATAGTGAAAATACTGACAACTATAGAAAAAAAATACGACTCAAATATGATAAGAAGGATTGTGATTATGTTAAACGTTTAATAAACAGCGTTAAAGAAGAAACATTGATAGATAACAAGTATTCGACAGATAAAATTACAGTTAAGCATAACTAATACCAGTTTAAGCTATTTCTTTTCTTTTCTTTCCTTTTATTTTTAATAAACACACGGTTCTTAATTGACTGTAATTGTGCTTACAATAAACTTGCATCTCAATTCAGTAAAAAGTTGGTTTTAAGTTGCATCCAAGGCAACATTACAATAGCTTTGCTGATAAACAATAATTATTACATGTTATCGCTATGGTGGCAGTCTCTTCAGAATAATTAGGTCTCTATGGACTGTTTACATATCCCAATAAAAAATCTACTTGAATATCAACTCTTATTTGTGGATAGTAGCCGCCAGTTTACAAGTCCAATTCCAATTTCCCTAATCATACGAATCGATGATAAACTTTATCGTTCAAGTTCCGAAACATGCGTTCATAGAATTATCTTCGAGTAAAGAAGATTATACATAATATGTCTTATTTTATGTTTTGACTAACAGTAATACAAACGATATTGCCATTGAAATCCTGTGACAATTTGAGAAGCCACGAGTTATTAATCCTCATAATGTTATACAGTAGCTACCGTGTTTACACTTCTTTCCTGAAGCACTATATTATCTCTATTGTTTCCATTGTTATTGCAGAAGATGCAAAAAATTCTAGGTATACTTGCATCATTGTTCGGCTCAGGATTCATTATTGAGCGTGCCAAAAAGATTATCCGTAGAAGAAGGCTGAATCCAACGGCGGCCAATACCATTAGAATAATGGTTAGATATTTGTTTACATCGTCACCCGACCCATCAGATGAAGGTGAATTGACTATTGGTGACGACATAGTCGGAGAAGGAGTTTCTCGAGTCTTTATCGATGGAGAATCGATCTGTGTAGATGATATGAATGTCGTTGATGTACTTTTACCATCACTAAACAATCATAAATTAAAGCTCATTAGACAGCCGTTTAAGAATGTAAAACTTCTTTACGGTCTCATTTAGTATTATGGAATTTACTGATAAACTAACTCACCAATCCATTATACAGCACGCCAAAAAAGCGATAGCTAGCATTGTCATATGTTTGGCCATTACTGTTGATAATTGTCTTGTACCACTAAGTTCTTCTAGTCAGTCAGATAGAAGTATGATGAAGAAGTGGGTAACGGCGGTGGGTTTATATATAAATAGTCTCTGATTTACGATTTTTAAATAATAAAGATTTACTCGGTAACATAACGCATAAAAAGTATACAAACGAATTTTCCTTTGTTCTAACTAACCCATAACTAGAAATATAATTGTCGTGCGACCCTTACCGAATTGTAAATATATTTTTAGCCCGTGGCGGTGTTTCTTTAGTTTACTCTCAATTTTATTAATAAAGCGTATGAAAAGTCTCGCTTTTCAAAAATCTCTCCTGCCCATGTGTACTATGCAAATACGATAGTCTTATATGGTTCTGAAGCTAATTTATTGTGCTTTTCGAAATTAATAACGATAAAAATTTATATATTATCGTTGCAAAGTAATAACTCGATGAAGTGTATATACGTGCTACGCATATATAATCGTATATTTTCGCTACTTCAACTTGTTACAGATTCATAACAATAATATTATTTTTAGAGCTTACTGCAAAAAGTTGAAGATGCCTGATATTTTGGTCACGTGATTATCGAGTATAGATTTCCCGCACCGTGATCTATGAAAATGGTGCATAAAATTGACCTGGCATCTTTGCTTCTTTGTAGAGACTCTATTATATTACTAGAAAGATGGACGACGGCAAGCTGCAAACAGGCGACAGCACTACCATAGTTCACACTGTAAATGAGGATATTTCCATAACTGTAACAGAGACTGTTGATATTAATACCGATAGCACTAGTACGTTAGTTACAGACACTCCGAATAGAATAGAACTAGAGGTGGCCCTTTCAGATGGGCAACACAATACTCGAACACTTCAACTACTCAACTCAATCTAATAGACTTCCAAGAAGACAATATGTCAAAAGACTCGACGAAAGGCTCTCCTTTCGCCTTTACTACCACCCAACTGTCATCTCTTGTAGACCCGAAAGACATAATAATAACACGTTAAAAAAATCTCGGGGGGATCGATGGTATCGTGGAAGGACTTCATACTGACCTTCATGCCGGAATATCAAACGACGAAACAGCGCCATTAGAACCAATAACTTTAGAGGAAATATTTGGAAAAAAACAATCAGATGCTACAAATCATACATCATCTACGACATTAACTACTCCTTTTGAACAACGAATAAGTGCGTTTGGTGTCAATGTCCTTCCCACCCGTAAACCAAAATCAATATTCGCGCTAATGAGGATAGCCATGCAAGACAAAATATTAATCTTACTCGCCATTGCTGCTGTTATATCCCTTGGGTTAGGGTTGTACGAAGATTTCGGAGTCAAGCATCCTGATGGAGTACAACAACCAAAGGTAAGTTGGGTCGAGGGAGTAGCCATCATTGTGGCTATATTTATCGTAATTATGGTCGGCAGTGTAAACGATTGGCAGAAAGAAAAACAATTTCAAAAACTGAATGCAAAGAAAGAGAGTAGAGACGTTAAGGTTATTAGTGATGGTAAAGAGCAGCTGCTGTCAGTACACGAAATTCTAGTAGGCGATTTGTTACAATTGGAACCTGGTGATATTATTGCTGTTGATGGAGTATTGGTCAATGGTCATAATCTCAAATGTGACGAATCGGCCGCTACTGGAGAAAGTGACGTTATTTAAAAATTAATAGGGAATCTGAGCCACGTACTGCTCCACTGATTTTATTTGACATGTGGAAGATGATCATTGGACAGAGCATGTTCAATTGGCTGTTACTCTTGCTCTGCTATACAGAGGAGAAGCATTGTTGAATTACAGGGATGATCAGTTACGTTCGTGTTCTTTCAGAAATTAATTGTCGCCGATTAGACAACGAGCTGAACATGTTCAAGGAAATTTTGGCTAATCAATTCCTTGTGTTCTGATTGGCGGACAAGCGTTCATAGTTAACTTTGGCAGAGCTGCATTCCAAGTGACTAGCTTAACTGGAGAGCAATGGGCTATTCCGTTAGGTCTTGGATTTATATCTATTCCAGTCGGAGTAATTATACGATTGATTCCTAACGCGCCATTACAACGCTTAATATCTTGTTTGAAAATACCTGGACAGAAGAAAGGAAAGCCAGCTAAACGTTCAGATACATTTGGACTTGGTAAAGATGAATGAAATCCTGCTATTGCTAATGTAAGAGAATCTTTAAGACAATTTGCGGTGGTAGACTACGCGCGTTTAGATTGCACATTGGACACGATAAAGAGCGTTTGCTGCAGCAGCCATGGTTCCTAGTTTAGTCGCTACATCAGTCGGAGCGGGATGGTCACCAAATGCGGCGAATAGATTGTCCCGACATCAGAGTAGTATGCAATTATATTTAGGTCATATGTTTGGCTGAGATACAAAGAATGAGTACTTCGAGTAGTACTGTTATCGAGATGCAGAGGAAATAGTAATTTAATTTGTGACTTAATGTACTCTATAATTACATAATATTTTCTAATATTTTCTAATAGTGATTGATTAGAAAATAGATTGCATTGTACAACACTCACCTTTAACTCGCTATATTACTATCAACAATACTGACTAGAAAAACAGGCATGCAATACACTATGGAGATCATTTGTGAAGAGAGGTTATGTTTAATAATTGAATTGGAGAACTTAATTATTAACTATGAACTAGACAGCCCTAGAGGTTTACCTTAGCTGTGCTTAATAAAACACATAAAATTCTTAATAAAAAAGAAATACCACTTTTCCGATGTCATTGTAATGACCTGCCAATTTGCAAGCCACTGTCGGGCGGGCATAAATTCTTTGCTTCTGTTATTATCAATTTATAATAGAATTTTTGATACAAAACGCGAAAATACAAAAAAAAGCACCACACACGCCACTGATAATATGAATGCGCAAATGACAGCTTTGCCTGCATCATGCTGTGTGTAACATCACTCAGCTTACAAGAAATATTCGTCTTGTTAAAAGCATTGACACCCCAAGGAGTATTGGCTTGTTGTATTTGCGTCTATAGTTCGTTCGGTTGTAACTAAAAATATTATTAAAATGTGATTTCTCAGTCATTTACTCTTTATACCGGTCAACGGAATTTTTGGTCGGGTAATAAGGGCATAAAAGGCAGACGAGAACATATAAGGACAATCTATTTATTATTACGCGTTTGCTTATTTATTACTCGTTTATTCAATCTGACTTTGTCACAAAACGATCTAAACCTCTTGTCTAAGACTTTTCACTCTGCTTAATTCAACACTACATCGTAAACACAGTAAATTAACCATATCTTCTCGAAATTGTAGAAAGATTAGCAGTACAATTGGTAAATGACTACGACATTATTGAAATAGTCATATCCGAGAGTAATGAACAAGATATAAATGAGACAGCAGAATCAGTGAGACTCAGCAAGAGATTTCATTTGAGGCGGCGTTGACTCTCTTAAAACGATAATCGAATTTATTGAACAGATTATGAGAACACTTGACTTAAATCAACAAATTTTCCTTTTCTGTAAAGCAGTGAGGAAAACTCTGGATATTTTTTTTATTTGTTTTATTTTACGTGACATGGTACAGTACCTGGACAAAAATGAGTGGTCACTACGAAATTTCGCTGACCAATCGCTAATAGTTGCTCGTAAAATTTTTACTAACACAGTTGGCCATGATGAAATAAGTAAACTGTTTGCAATAACTGTGTGCATGCGTTAATATTGAGCGAAAATAAAGGCTTACGCCAAGGATAAAGATTTACGAAATCAAAACTTTAGTCATAATGCAAGTCAAAGAAGTTAATTGTAGTGCATCCTTAAGTGAAACATTCAGCATATTTCAAAATATATAAATATAAATTTCAGACGATTTGGTTTGAGTAAACAGTTGAACTATGAGAAACCATATTAACATTGCAAGTACAAATTTTAGTAATGGATAACTAAATTAAATGACACATCTTATATAAAACATTTATTCCGTTAATTAGTAAACAAACATATACTAACAAAAGTTACTGGCAACAATAAAACGCGTCTTCTCTTAAAGTATGACTGGATTCTGGCAAACATCTAATGATATATAATTACAAAGACTTCAATTTAGAAAATTTTACATTTTGGGTTAGTATTCAATGGAATCTAAACCAAATCGTCTGAAATATGCTGAATGTTTTTACTTAAGGATGCAATAATGCATTACAACTAACTTCTTTGACTTGCATTATAACCAATGTCCTTATCTTCAACGTAAGCCTTTATTTTTCGCTCAACATTTATACAAAGTCTGTGAAACTTACAAAACACATGCACACATTTATTGCAGACAAGTTTACTTATTACATAATAACCAACTGTGTTAGTAAAAATTTTACTTCACATATGGGTCACTTTTATTGTGTTACATGATCGACCATAGAGAGGAGTCTTCAAAGAGTTCGATGCGACTAAGATAGCATAAATCGGTATAGTAATCTGGTTCCCTATTACAGTATTAACGTAAATTTATCATGGAAAAACTGAACTCTTAATACAGTGAAGGCTTTTGCATGGCGGCCATCATCAATTTTGCTGGACGAAGTTCATCATACTATCATAATATTTTCACGTAAACTAGACTACGATATAGTCACAAAGTCACTCTATTAATTAGGATCCTGTGTAGCACTCAACATATTCTTTATTTAGCGAGTTTAATCATGACACTATCATCAAAGAGTCGCCCTTTTAAATACTGTCCATAAATAACACTATAACACGATATCATGAAAATAGTATCCCTAATTTGTAGGCCAATTTGGGCAAGTTTGATCCTTACTTTTGTAACGCATTTTTGAGAATATTATTACTATGTTGTTTGCACTTTGGTTATTAAGAAAGGTACCTTGTCCAGGAGATTTACCCGAGCTCTGTTAAAGAATGCGTGATTGAAAAAAATATATGATGTGCATTTAAAGAAATATTTTTATGTAAAATTTTCTAAATTTTTGCAAATTCCGTTTATTGAAGATATTATAGTATAGGGTACTAGTACCATATTCTTAGACTAAATTTTTTCTTTACTTTATTGTGAATCTAAAAGTCAAAAATCTCAATAAACAAATGAGCCATTGAAGAGTAATGGCCATTTGAAGACAGACACTCACATCCTTTAAACTCATACATCCTCTCCCACTTTCCTCTCCCCATACTCCTCCCTCTTTCTTGAACTCTTACATTGCTTCTACTTTTTTGTCCATCTCCAGAGCTTTATTTCTTACTATAGTTAGAATTCTACAAGTATCCTCCTCACCGAGAGTGTCTCTTCATCGTGCTGATTTCTCTAAAGTAAGTATAGTGAGTCTGATATGACTTTAAAGTTAGTTAAATGAAACATTTTTTAACTGCAATGTTAAATGTATGGGTATTAGTATTATAACGTTTATTATCTCCATCGGCAATTGATCGGTAAAATCTACGTAATTGGGGCTAAGGATCGACAAGCGATCTGCAAACAAACAAGACGATATATGTTGGGGGTGTTTACTTAGTAGCTTCAGGTGATATAAAGCAATCTTGTTAGTGAATCCAAATTACAGGCAAATTATATTTGCCTGTAATACAGTTTAAGGGATAGTGATTCCTGCTCCATGCAGCGGAAGTGACATATTAGCTAGCCCAAATTACAAGTTCAGTCTAATCAATTGGGGCTGTGTATGAATATTGCTAAGATTTATGCGGTGGGCCTGCAGTCGATCGTGGTTGTGACCAAGGCGTTGGCCGCGCATAATTGTCGTGGCAGAACTTGGCATATGATACGCCCAATGGCCTGTGGACCCACATGCTTGCAGAAGGTTGACACGTTACACGGATTGAACATTTTTTTGTGTGTGATGTTGTGTGCGACAATGGATATTAATTACACGTGTTTATTCATTTGATCCAATGCATTTATTACATTGGTCAAGATAGTGAGAATGATACAGTGGAATAAGTCAAGAGAAGCCAGATAATACAGATTAAGGGGGGGAAAGATTAAAGGAAAATAATACAAAAGCTATAAATAACAAAACAATGAAATGCAGATTTAGTGTTTATGCAATAATAGTTTCCAATTCAGTGCTGGGGTGTTTCAGTCACACCTGGCAATGACCAGCCTTCACATTAGACATATGATAACTGCACCCGGCAAATGAAATACGCAACAGGGGAATGAGCAAGATGACGTGAGAAGGAATAAATAATACTCGACTCTCACATAACCTCACTTGTTCCTTTTACACCCGCCAAAATACCCCAAATAGCCTCGTCATGTTCCTCTCCCGTATCATACCCAATCCTCATCACAACATTCCACCATAGTTTTCGATAAGAACTGCATTTATTTTGTTGACCCAATCACTAGCAGTGCCATTAGGGTCTTCAAAATAATATGTTTTGCGCGGCTATCATTGGAGAATATGAAGAATTAGTGAGTGTATAAGCAGAGGAACAAGACCGAATTACGTTTCCAGCAAGTGTCCCGCCCCATAGCATATTATCACTCTCTTAATCTAGTTTCTCTAACGCCACCACCCTTCAATCACTCGCGCTCTCTCTCCCCTTCCGTTCCCATTCTCATACCGTATGCACGAAGAAATGTTTCTTATTCTTTAATTCCACAACCATCCTTGAACTCCAATATATCTCGCCCTTCTGTGTCATTTTCTCCTGATCAACGTAAATCAATCTGGGGAAGTCCGTTAAAATAAGAAGTCTTCGTTTCGAAAAGAATCCTTTGCGTTTGTTGATAGGACCAGTACGAAGAATTAACTCAGATCTTAACAGAAACGGAAGCCTTTGTTGTTGTATGAAGATGTAGGAGAATAATTATTTAAACATGTTGTGATTGTTTGAATGTAGTACATCAGATGTAAAATTTGTAGGAAATAGACAAGACGAGTAACATAGTAAAGAAAGACGGAAGATGAGAAATAAAAATACAAATGAACACATGAATGCCAAATACAACTTATTGAATGTACTAATACAAAATAAACAAATGACTCCATTCGCGCTCTTTACATCTTCAATGTTCATCAATACACCCAATTGATATCCTCTCTTTTTTTTTTTAACCCTCCATCGCATTCTCCAATCAGCATTGTCATAAATAGATACAATACCATTGAGCTGAAGTCCTCTTCTGCTCTTCTAACTTTCCTGCTCTCACTGGATCAATCTTCTCCGATCCATCTGTACTAGCCCAACTCTCCAATCTAAATGGATCCCGTGCTTCCAATCCTGATGTAACCGGGCTGTTACCGTTATCTACACTAACACTTGAAATTTTTTTTTCGTAGATACTAGTATCGGCTCGAAGTTCCTCTTCGTGAGGCTTAGGGGGCAAGTAAGGAAGAAGGCGAGGGGCTGTTTGCTGCCAGAGCGTGTCCCATTGAACTCCATCAAAAAATGGGTGAGACTTGAGCTGTTGTACCCCTGCCTTGCCACCGGCTCCTAGTCGTTCTGCTGGATTAAGGACCTTGTGTTAAAAGTATGATCGAATGGTTAAGGACAAAAGTAAAACGTGGAAGCTTAGTTAGAAAAAATTTAAGAGGAAAAAAAAGCGTTTGTGCATCGATCTAGTAGTCGAATTCTGTATATGATAACCATTATCCAAAGCTTAACTCTTCATTTCTTTCATACTTACTAATAATTTTTTGACAAGATCTTTTGCAACGGGCGGAAACCCTTCTGGGAAGTTATAATCCAAGTGAACAATCTTCTGAAACGTCATATATTCGTTGCCTCCTTTGAAAGGAGGTCTGCCTGCAATTAGTTGGTACAAAATACAACCTAGTGCCCAAAAGTCGGAACTATGCGTATACAGATTGATAAATAAAATGACAAGCGGGAAAGAATGACATAGATGCTAAAATTTAATAACCAGATTCTACCTCTTACAAGCTGCCTTTTCCTTTAGTAACTCTGGGCTAACATATTCTGCAGTTCCTACGAAGGAATTTGCACGATCGTCTACTATGTGGAAGACAAAATTAGCCATCTGCAACACCAAATAGCGATTGTTGATAACAAATTTATGACATAGCTAATCAACCTGTTTCTCCATCGACGTTTTTCCCCAATATCTTGGCGGTGCCGAAATCAGTTACTTTAATATGCATCTTGTCGTCCAGCAGTATACTTATATGGCATAAGAAAAAAAAGAAATTTTAGCAACCAATGATGAGTCTATTCATATTCTTATAATCTTCTTTGACATACTTTTCTGGTTTTAGATCCCTGCAAAAGGAAAAGAAAAAGAAAAGTTAATCACACATAACCCAAGAAAAGGAAATATTATATACAGGTAAGATTGTATGAATATATTATTACCTATGGATTACACCTTGGTCGTGCATGTACTCTATAGCCGCTAATATTTGCGCTGTATAGTACCGCGTGCAATTCAAATCGAAAGAACCAAGCTATAAAAATAATAGTGATCATCGTTAGAGAGATTGCAATAAGAGCAAAATGATCATATGTGTCTATATATTTACTAAATAAACCATAAATAGGTCTCCCAGCGCAAACATAACGAGATACCTTCTTAATGAATGTCAGCAGTTCTCCGTTTTTTGCATGATCTAGTACAAAGTCTATTTAAAAGAGTCAACACCAAGTCAAGGACTAGATAAAATCATTGCAGCGAGTTGATTGCATATAGATCTCATGCACAAAAGGATACACAAGCTGTTATGATCCTGGAAAGTAAAATACAAGCGAACGATCCCAGGATAATTCATTTTATTTAGGGTGTTCTTTTCGATGTTGACATATTTTACTTTCTTCTCTTTAATGATGTGCTTCTTATCGAGAATCTTGATAGCATACTCTCGTCCGGTTGAGCGGTCTCTGGCAGCCACAACCTATAGATTAGAAGAGAATGGGGGTAAGCTTGATGACTAGGGCAATTTAAATTGAATATGGTCGAATAGGAGAATATAGATTGTTTGAACTAACGAGAATAAACCGACTATTGAATGAACCAACGCATTCAAAGTACTTCGTATTTTATATGTTGTAGTTATTGGTCATTGAAGTTCATTTTAATTTGAATTCCTAAAACATTTTCCAATTTTTTGAGTGATAATCATGTATTTATTATATTATTCTGAGCTATAGAATATAGGCTATTGCAGTTCTAAGTCTATTTTATTTACATTCAGACACAATATACACTTTCTGTAATCATTAGCTTTTCTGAGACTCGATTGAATTAATTCAACTCATCTATTCGCGTTATCGCCATCTCGACTGCTTGTTCTCTCTACATACCGTAGAATATGAACCTTCACCGAGCGTTCTCCCGAGCTCAAAGTCCTTCACGCCCTTTTTCTTCACCGATGAGTGGGACGACGACGACGACGACCGCTGCTGAGAGTTGCTGCTGGTCTGGACGGCCGGGTCATCGGAACGTTGCGAAATGCCGTTTATCATCTTGGTAGTGCGTGGAGTGCTTGTCGAGGACATTTGATGCCGTCTTATTGAAAATAGAAAGTCGATAACGTGAATAGGATTTGACAAGAATGTTAAGACGGATGCGGTTGGACTAGTATAGAAGTGCTTGAGACAGGCATGTGATATTGATATTCGATGCTAATTACGACTCAAAAAGACTGTGAACTATGTAAGTGCGTCAGTTCGGAAGTTGACTGCATTATCCGCAGCATGCAATCAAAGCAATTCAGGCGAATAAATAACAGGGGTCAATCAATATTTTGCCATATTGAAAATCATGTGATTTATATTTATATAGAATATTTATCCACGTGTCCGAAGCATAATCCGAAAATTCCGGATATTTGTGTTGCACAAGAATTCCCTACTCTTCTTATCTGTCGATTCATTATCATCGTCTCAATGTGGTCCTCTCCTGTCTTCTGTATATGCTTTTTTTCGTTTTTCATTCATTACCTAACAGCTTTCTCTCCCTCTTTTGGCGCATACTGACCTTTGAGCATTTTCAGACGACTGACTGGTTTAAGCCCAGGGTGCTTTGAATTTCTGCAGCACACGATTCTTGACTGAAACTATGATTTTCCTTTTTACGTTCTTCTTTGAATTCTTGAAGAAGACTCTTCTGTGCTTTAGTGAGCTTGATCACTGATTTAGACCATTTTCTATCATCTTTTTCTAATTTGCTAACAACTGCCCTTTTTGAAGAACTTTTTCAGATATAAGAATCTGACTCTGACGAATTACATGAACGCGTGCATACAGATATTCGTCAAGTGGGAGGTTTCGCTTGGGTATGCCGCGTTCAGTAATTGGTCCGAGTAGATTACCCATAAGATTATGTCGATAGATGGATTGGTGTTGAGGAAAGCCTTTGTAATATATTGCTGAACGAGCTCATATTGACTTGTTTATTCGGTAAGCGTTTTACCAGTAAGGTATTGCTTAACAATGTGGTCAATTATGAGGTGGCTTTTCTCTGTTATTATAGCGTCTGCTGATTCTCGTACGACCATGACATTTATCATGCGAATAGAGATTTTTCCTTACGCGCAATTTTTTTTATCAAGTACTCGTAACCCGAATACATAATCCATAGTAAATAAAGTGAAATGGAAAAATCTTATTTTTCGTATTAAAATATTATATACAGTATATGAAAAAGATGGTAGAATTCTCAAGGAGAATTACTTCAAATGGAGCCCCGTTACATAAAGTTTATGAATGCATGTCAATTTAGATTTCGATCCGTAATATCTAAATTATAATAGTTTATTATTTGCTGGAAAATTTCAGGGTTTCCCATATGTGAATTCAAAATATTACGACGTTGTTCGAGCTTAGCCTTAAATAAAGCTTTGTATCTAACCGTTGGGCCATATTTATTCAATTTTCTTTGCAAGCTAATCCGCGAACGCGAACAATTACAATCGCAATTCCAGTTTTATCAGTTGTTTCGGTATTTGACAATTCAATTTTTGTTGCAATGCTTTTGCAGTGGTACCACGGCCTAATATATTTTTCTGTAATAATTCTAGATACAAAAAAAAAGATAATAATTGTGATATGTTTTCTGATTATATTATGAAAAGGATAATCTAGGTTTGAATCAAACGACATGGTAAATATAAAAAAAATTTTCTTAGTGCGAAAAGATATTTTGGGAAGCAATCGGCACGTTTTTAGCCAGATCGAACACCCTTTAGATTATTGTTTCAAATTCATCCAGTATAATTACATCATAGCCGGTCGCTCCGAACTTCGGGACTGATGATAAGTTTCGGAGTATCATTGGGGTTGTTTCTGTATATCTAGATCGAGATAAGACTTAAATCCGTCGAAAAGGGTTTTTGTCCCTTTATAATAGCCACACATAAAAATCATATAATAAGATCAATGAATAATTATTTTCGACTTGAAAAAATTTTTTTTATAGTATATAACCCAACAAAGTGAGAACCCTAACATATAAAAATACTGCCATGTCAGCCATTGCAACAAAAATCGTGACGGCTTAATACCATATTTGGTTCAAGTTAGCTTTTAAATATTTCACGACACACTAATTTCCAAAACGGATTGACTGGTGAGATTTCCGTTAGAAAGCTATGACCATCTTGTTGTCAGTCAGACTGTTCAAACAAGAAGTGTTCATGAGCAGGGTGAGTCTGTATTGGTAAAACCCATGGTAGCTGCAGAATAGCGGAGGAATACGTTATCGTTATATCGCACCGTCTTTACAAGTGTACTGTCGGATCGACGCACGTGGGAAAGCGTCCGTATATCGACCCTGAGAAAGGCGTTTGCGCTTTAACCAGTGATAGGAATCTTCACCAGGGAACAATCAAAACAAATATATTTAACCACTAATTTTATTAGAATATAAAGAACCATTCTAATCACAACCTGACATCGTTCAGGTGATCGACTAGATCATATCATATTCATCACCGGTGAGACACCCATTATAATAATAATACCCTTTATTCATCATGCCGTACTCCTTCCTCTTTGATTTGGGAAGAATTGGAGACGTGAGCTAAAGGAATAGGCGCAGTTGATTCGCTTACCTCAGATACTGTAGTTGTGTTCATAGCACATGCAAAATTTCCTTTAGCACAGATTCATGAACAAAAAAAAATCGTAAACTCGGGACAAATATAATCACATGCAAGTAATGCAACTATGTGCTGTATTATTTAATGCGCAAGTTATACAGAGATTACGTAATTCATTACACTGATATTGCTAGACATATACTATTCATAAACCAAATCTTTCGTTATTGGATCTAAAGAAAAAGAAACGGAAAGTTTAGTTATAAAAAGAAAGTAAAAAAATAGCAGTTGCACACGTACCAACTTTAAGTTCAGTAATACTCCCATCATCGCCTACATTCCATGCCACATTCTTAGGTTCATCCAGTTTATTCTCTAAATAATTTCCGACTGGCCATAAAAAAAAGTTGATATGGTCCCAATCAAATATGCGACCGTAACAGTCAAGGAAAAGCATTCCGTAGTCACGTTCCCCGATAATAATGATGTGATTAAAGCCAAACTCTTTAATACACTCCATATCCTCAGTAAGATAAGTAATAGTATCTAATTCTCTACTTTCACCCACGATATCATGGCCAACAGAAGTTGCAACACGATGACGGTCATATCGATTCTTGATCTTTTCGACTAACATGAATGAACTATTACGTGCATCCGATGGTTCATATGGTCCATTACTTTCTGACACCTCATGCATGGGGGTACGACTTTCAATTTTTTGCGTAAGGAAACGGTTCGGGAATACAAGATGACATGGCGTAGTCGGTTCTTCTGTTGTCCATGTACTAGTTCCTGAAGGACCCACCAAGGAACCGACCCGGAACAGTTCCCCCAACGATGGTTCAACTTCTTTGACTTTTCTTTTGTTAGGGCAACATTCGAACGACACCACTGCAACGCTGGTAATTTTTCTACCCTCGAATTCGTTATCTGCTTGTGGTTGTCGTATTTCATGTAATGACTCACGGTCTTTCTTGACTGGGATTGCCTTTTTTTTTCTTTTCTTCTTTCCTTGCTTGTTTTTCGCGATTTTTTCGCGATCGTCTTTCTTCGAGGCGAATACGTGATGTTTATCGTCGATGGGCAAGCTTTCATGTCTGTTTCCATCATCACGATTACTTTGCCCAGGAGTCTTTACATTTGGAGAAGATAAGCCCGTGTCATTATTATAGGTCTCGTCCATGGTTCGAGTTTATTAAGCCGGCAAATCTTGCTCCTTCATATTCATATAAAGTAAAGATGTGATTTGTGCAACGGATCATTATTTATATTAGTTCTGTCGATCGTAGTTTAAAATTTCGGTCTTAAGTTGAATTATAAATTAATGTTTTGGACCCCGTTTTATTGATAAACGCCAGAATTTTATTGTAGTTCCGAAAATAAGCACGTATTAAATTTTTGTGCAATACAATAAAGACAGCCATGCGCATGACACATCACACATCACACACTTAGGATGCAGATTTAGAAGCAATGTTATTGATACAGTGAGTGGCTTGCGTATTAAATTTTTTGTGAAATACAATAAGACACGCCATGCGATCACGCAACAATGTTCTTGAGACGGCATTTTATTGGTGAGTTGCTTGCGTTGATTGTACGTTCTATATAAGGCCTTAGTACAATCCCCTAATTAAGATTCGGTGTTAATGATTTATTGGAAAGACGTTGAGTGAATAATTATTTTCGATTTGAAAGAATATTTTTCATAGCATATAACCTAACAAAGTCAGTATAACCTAAAAATATTACCATTGTAACAAAAATCGTCAAAAAAAAAAAATACAATCTCATCCCAGAGATGGGAATAACCGAGCTCAATCAGTATACTTCTGAGTTGCAGGCACGAAGACGCCTTTTAATCCCATCGAATACCATGCTCAGTGTGCCATTAGGACCTTTGCCGATAATTTCGTTTTCATCAAGAACGTAATTAATTTGTTCGCGTACTGCTTCATCCTGTATACCAAATAAATGCACTTTACGTGGACTGAGATAATAAATTTTACTTACCTGTTGATCGGAATGAGGCACGTGAACGTTTTGTGCCCAATCATAACTGTAATGGGCAGTCGCGTCAACGCTACAATAATCAGCTTTACCTCTTCTTACAAAATGCTCCTCTACTAATTTTCTTTGTTGCTCTGCTAATTTCGTATTTTTGTTGTAATAATTTCTCTCTAACTTAGCTTTAACTAAATGTTCTTTGAATTTTTTCAATAAATCTTTCGCTTCTTCTTCCTTGCGAGCATTGTATTGTAAGCCGTTCCGAAAAT